CAGACAATATTTAAATTTAGTAGAAAAAGTAATTTTTGAGCAGAGAATATTTTAATTTAGTAGAAAAAGAAATTTTTGAGCTGTTAAAATTAATAATTAAGTCAAAAAAGTTATTTTTTGATAAGACAAAATTTTAATTAAGCAAAAATGTAATTCTTAACAGTCAGTATTCCAATGAAGTAGAAGTCATTTTTGAGCAGAAAAAATTCCAATAAAGTAAATAATGTAATTTTTTTAACAAGAAAAATTGAAATTGAGTACAAAACCCAATTTTCGATCAGGTAAAATTCAAATTGAGTAGAAAAAATAATTTTTGAGCAGGAAAATATAGAAATTAAGTAAAAAAAGTAATTTTTTAGCAGACAAAATTTAAATTTAGTAGAAAAAGTAATTTTTCATCAGTAAAAATATAAATTAAGTGGAAAATGTAAATTCTAAGCAAAAAAAAATTCAAATTAAGTAGAAAAAAATTATTATTGAACAATCAATAATTTAATGAAGTAGAAAAAATAATTTTAAAATAAGCAACATTCAACTGAAGTAGAAAAAGTTATTTTTTGAACGGAAAAAAATTAAAAATAAGTAGAAAAATTCCGTTTAGTTCAGACGAAACTTAAGCTGAGTAAAAAAAAGTAATTTCTGAACAGACAAAATTCGAATAAAGTAGAGAATGTAATTTTTGAGAAAGAAAAATTTTCATTGAGTAGAAAACCTCATTTTTGAGCAGAAAAAATTTAAATTGAGTAGAGAAAATAATTTTTGAGCAGGCAAATAGAAATTAAATAGTAAAAGTAATTTTTTGTCAGACAAAATTTAAATTCAGTGGAAAAAGTAATTTTTGAGCAGACTAAATATAAATGAAGTAGAAAAAGTAAATTCTGAACAGTCAAAATTCAAATTGAGTAGAAAAAAAAATTATTTTTGAACAGTCAGTAATCCAATGAAGTAGAAAAAGTTATTTTCAAGTAGAAAAAGTTATTTTTTGATCAGAAAAAATTGAAAACAAGTTGAAAAATTTCCTTTTAGTTGAGACAAAATTTAAGCTCAGTAAAAAAAATAATTTCTGATGAGACAAAATTCCAATATTGTAGATAATGTAATTTTTGAGCAAGAAAAATTGAAATTGAGTAGAAAAAGTAATTTTTGAGCTGTCAAAATTTAAATTCAGTAGAAAAAGTTCAGTTTCAGGCAGACAAAATTGCGTTCAAGTAGATAAAGTATTTTTTGATCTGAAAAAATTTTAACAAAGTGGAAAGGAGAGGACAAAGAATTAGACTATCTCGTCAAGATAATTTATTTTATGATATAATTTAAATTGTAATTATTAATAAAATTAGAAGAAAGTTTAATTAATAACGCAGTTAACAGTCGTTTCAGTAAAAATTATTGACGAAGTTAATAATGGTTTCTGTAAAATTATTAACAAAGTTAATAATACATTCGGTGAAAATTATTAACCCAGTTAATAATACTTTTGGTAAATATTATTAACAAACTGAATAATACTTTCTGTAAAAATTATCAACAAACTTTTTTCAAAATCAGAAACAATTATAGTTTTGGTATAAATTATTAACGAAGTTAATAATACTTTCAGTAAAAATTATTAACAAACTTTTTCAAAAACATAATTCACTACAATTAAGAAAACAAACGAATTTGTTTATAATTATTAAAAAAAAACAAATTTTGTTCATAATCATTAGAAAAACAATCGATTTTTGTTTTGAATTATCAGAGAAATAATCAAAATTGTTTATGATTATCAGGAGAAAAGAAAATAATTTGTTTACGATTATCAGGAAAAAAGAAAATAATTTGTTTACGATAATTAAGAAAAGAAAAATAAATTGATTTTAATTGAAATTTCTTCGAAAGATATATGTATAGAATTAATGCTGAGAGTATAGAGACGGTGTTTTGCATTTTACACGTAGTCAACAAGTTATTATATATGCGCAGTCAGGGGGGCTGGCTTTAGACGCATTTTCCACCCTGCGATTGTTTTTTGTTTTACACTCTATTGCAGCGGCTTATCAGTTCTTGACGCGGAAGCACTCGCAACGGTAAAATCTTGTATTCACGCGCGAAACGTAATCTGCTTTCAATAACCTGAAGGCTTATAAGCTTAGCTTGTGTTCTCGTTTATCATACTCTGCACATACACTCACACATTTATGCATACATACAACTTTGATATTCGTCTAGTATTTCAATGTTCATTAATATAATTGTTTAATGCAAATTGTCTATACACTATAGGTACAGCAAAAAAAAATTCCTTGTTTTTAATTATGTCTCTATTAGTTAATTTTATATTTTAACTAAATATAATACAATTATTAATAATTAATTAATTTTATTAGATATTTCCCGGAATTATTTATTATTAATTAATAATTATTAATAATTAATTAATTATATTAAATATTTTCCGGAATTATTCATTATTAATTGATAATTATATAGTTTTATAAACAAATAAATTTTTGTCCCCTTTTTGAGGAAAAAAAATTCACCTTTTTTCCACAAAAAAGGTAAAAAGGTGAATTTTTTTTCCTCAAAAAGGGGACAAAAATTTATTTGTTTATAAAACTATTATAATTCAAATTTTTTATCATATTGCTTCTATAAAATTTTTTACAAATGATTTGATTTTAATCAGACTTGTCACAAAAATTTAATTTTGTTTTTTTCCTCACTTTTCCCCTAAAGAATATTCTGCGATTCACTCTAAAAATGATTAGATACTCAAAAAAATGTTCTATTACATTTATTTACGAATTTCTTTAACTGTAAAATTATTCGAAAACAGTAATAACTTCTTTTTTAAAAATATATTTAATAATTATTATTTTTCCATGGAAATAAGGATTTTCAAAACATTCAAATTCAAATATTTTCGAAATTCAACAATTTATGAGAATATTATTATAAAACATGAAGAATCATGTGATTCTTTATCACATAAATTAAAATCTTAGGAAAATAGTTGAATTATGTATAATTCATGTTAAGAGTATTATTAATATTTTTGATAATCATAAAATTTCTGCAAAGAATTTTATTAGTTTTAAGTTAATTGAATTTTTGGGAAGAATGTTATGAAATTTTTTGAAAATAATTGAATTAAACATTTTATTAAAATTTCTGAAAATAATTGAATTATTTAGAATTTATGCCAAGAGTTTAATTAATATTTTTGATAATAATTCAATTTCTATAAAGAATTTTATTAATTTAAAGATAATTGAATTCTTGGGATAAATTTTATGAAATTTTTTGAAAATAATTAAATCTTGTTGAGAATTGCACTAAAATTATACAAAATAATTAAATTGTTTCGAAAAATTTTATGGAAATTTTTGAAAATAATTGAAATTTTGTAAAGAAATTTATTAAAATTTTTGATAATAATTGAATTTTGAGTGACAAGATCATTATTTTCTACTGTAAGAAATATTTTTACTGTAACTTCTTCAAAATTATTTTCATCATTTCAATTCAATTATTATTTTCTAGAATTTTTTAACAAAAAATCTTCTTTAAAAATCAATTATATAGAATAATTTAAAAAAAAATTCTGAGAATTTTCAAATGTATTTGTTTACAATTGAATTTTAACGAAATTTTTAAATAATTAAATTCTTTCGACGAATTTAAATAAAATTTTTAAAAATAATTATTTTCGAGGTGTTTGATTCAAAATTGTACTAAAAATAATTGAAATTATTCGATGAGTTTGAATATTTCAAATATTTGTGAAAATAATGGAATTATTGCGAAGAAATTTATAAAAAATTTATAAATAATAGAATTCCTGTGAAATTATTTTATTATTTATGAAAATAATTAAACGTTTGAGTAGAATTTTAATAAAAAATTTTTTAAATAATTGAATTCTTTTGGAGAATTTTATTAAAATAGTAAATATTAAATATCATTGAAATTAGGAAAATTTTTTTGCAAATAATTGAAATTTTGTCAAGAATTTTATTAAAATTTTTGAAAATAATTGAATTTTGAAGAAGAATTTTATTATTTATAAAGAAAATTGAAATTTTGACAAGAATTACTTTAAGTTTTTAAATATAATTGAATTTCAGCGAAGAATTTGATTACTTTTGAAAATAATTGAATTTTTGCAATCATTTGAAACTTCTCCAAAATTCAAAATTTTTTTAAGTGTTTTTAACTTAATTTCCTTGTTAATTTCTTTACTTTTAATAATTAATTAAATATACATACAATATTAAAAAATTGAACTAATTTCAGAATAATTTAAATTTTGAGAATTTTTGCAAAAATTTATATTCTTTAGAATTTCTAAATGAAATTCATTCAAAATTGAAATTTCATAAAATTTGAAATTAAAATGTTTTTAAGTTCTTCTATTTATGAAAATTGTAAACGCAAATATTTAGAAATTTAATTAATTTTAAAATGTACCTAATAAATAAAATTATTCATTAGATAATTTCTAAGATATAATTTTATGATAGTTTTTTCAAGAATTAAGTTATTTAAAAAAAAAAATTATTGTCAGAAATGGAAAAAAATTGCAGGTTTTGTATTAGAATTTTTGTTTTTCTATGAAAAAACTATTAATAATAATATTTTAATTATTTGAATGTTAATTAATTATTTTTCCAAAGGTCTGCATTCTGTTGAATGAACCACCTTATAATTTATAAAATTCTTTACGATATCTATATTATTTAATAATCATTAACATAAAAAAACATATTTATATTATGTTTTGGTGTTAATAATCTAAATCAAAAATAAAAATCACTGTATTCTATAACATTGAGTCTAAATTTTATGATTACACTTTGAAAAAGATTTCAAAAAAAGAAAAACTTATTTATCTTTGATTAAAAAAAGGTGAAAAAGGGGACAAATCATCAAAGAAAGGGGGAAAAAGGTGACAAATCGTCAAAAAAGGTTTTAATTTTTATTTCACAGTAATCCAAGCATGTGTATCAAGTACGAAAATTAAAATTTTATTCAATCCATCAATGATAAAAGTCTGCTAAATATTATCTTGACAACTTTTTTTTTTATCAAATCCGAAAAAAATGCAATTGTTCAGATAAAAAGTCAAGAGACTACCTCACTCGGTTTTTTATTAACGAAAAATGAAGAATATTTTGCAAATAATTTTCCTTCTCTTTGGAACAACATTTGGTGAGTAATTTAATTAACTATTTAGTTATTTTTCTATTATTTATTCATTTTTTGTTTTGTTTATTTAATTATTGAGGAAAAAATGAAAATTAAAAAAATACATTTTGCTTGATTAATTTGGACTATATTGTAGAGAAGAAATATTTATTTGCTGACAAAATTTAAGAATAATAAATAAAAAAAAAAATTTCAGTAAAATCTGACGTGGTGCAGGATTTATCAGAGAATGCAAATCGGGAAAGAGAAATTGATTATGAAAAATTATGGCGTCCGGACGAAAATGAGAAAGAACTTATCGACAATGAGGAAATTAATTCAATATCAAGAATTAAAAATTTGGATAAAAAGATAACTTTTCGACTCTATACGAGAGAAACAGGAAGTAATTATGAACTATTGAAGACCAATGATATCGATAGATTAAAAGCGAGCCATTTTAATCCTAGAAGACCCACGAGATTTTTCTCACACGGCTGGAGGACTGAGATAAGTAAAAGAAATAACTTAAGAGATATGATTCGTGAAGGTAAATATTTTTAACTACTTTCCACAAAGTAAACAACTTATTCACTAATAAAAATAAAAATAAAAAAATATAAATAAAAATAAAAATAAAAGTAAAAATAAAAATAAAAATAAAAGTAAAAATAAAAGTAAAAATAAAAATAAAAGTAAAAATAAAAATAAAAGTAAAAATAAAAATAAAAATAAAAATAAAAGTAAAAATAAAAATAAAAATAAAAGTAAAATAATAATAATAATAATAATAATAATAATAATAATAATAATAATAAAAATAAAAATAACAGAACAATACTTTTTAAAAGAATAGAATATTTTTTGCAACAATTTTTTTTCTCTTGCAGCATTTTTGGAAAATGAAAATAGTAATCTAATAATGATAACCTGGTATAAATTGTCCTTCAAACCGTATTTTATACTAAGAAAGAACATTGACAAAATGGGTAAATTTATTGCTGAATTTATTAATTTTTTGGAAACGGAGGGAATGAATCTAAATAATACAACTCTCGTTGGTCTCTCGCTTGGCTCACATGTCGTTGGAGTAACGGGTTATCATACAAAACGAAAAGTGAAAAATATTATCGGTATGTTTATCAATAATTATCCATATTATTATAATTGTAAACACAGTAATGAATTTCAATTTTTTTTTTTTTTTTTATCAAAAAGTTAATTAATTTCCAACAAAACTAATTTCATGACAATGAAAATTGTGATTGTATAACAAATTCGTTTCTGACAAATTTAATTAATTTCAATTAATTACATACATGACAATTAACGAAATGTATTTTTCGTTTTATTAATTATTTTTCTTTTATTTCTAATTTTTTTTTAATTATTTTTTTAACTGTATTTTTTTGATTATTCTTTTTTTATTTATCCTTTTTTAATTATTCTTTAATTATTACTCTTTTTTTATTTATCCTTTTTTTAATTATTCTTTAATTATTCTTTTAATTATTCTTTTAGAAATAAAATAATTTCCATACATTAAATTGATATTCTTTTTTTTATTAAATTTTATTGAATTTACTTTTTTCGAATTAATATTTTCATCAAATAAATAAAATTTATTTTATTTGATAAAAATATTAATTTATTAATTGAAGAAAATAAATTAAATTCCGCACTTTTAAACTAGGTTTGGATCCCGCTTGGTTTCTGTACGACTCCTGCGGTACGAGATGTCGAATTTCAACGGAATCGGGCAAAAATGTGGAGATTCTGCACACAAATGATAGAATAATAGGAAATCCAAATCAACTGGGACATTTGGATTTCTATCCAAATGGCGGAAGAAAGCAGCCGGGTTGTATTTTTGATATATTTGGACTTTGCTCACATCATAGAGCACTTCTCTACTATTTAGAATCTCTAACAACGAAACGTGGTTTTTATGGAATGCAATGCAATTCCTATAAACACTTTCAGTCGGGCGAATGTAAAGGACAAACGGAAATTATGGGCGGCGTTGAACTTTCATTCAAGAAACGGGGCTCTTACTATTTGACGACAAATTCACGAAAGCCCTATGCCAAAGGGGAGATAAATAAGAAGAATTTAAATTAATTTAAAAATAAATTCACCTTCCAATTATCAAATAATATAAATATTTATCATTAATTTATACCGACAAAAATTATTCATTAAATATCTATGACAGAAATATATTAATTTATCATAATTTATAATAATAATATTTAAAATATTTAAATTCATGAATAATTATGTAATAATTAATGATCTATTAATTAATTTCCTAACGCAGATGTAACATATTTTATTTATCCAACTAAATTGGAAACTATCGAGAGAAATAAAAAAAAAAGTAAATTAAAGTGATGAGTAAATTATTCGCAAAATTCGAACTGGAAAAATCGATAAAACTTTCAAGGATGTCCTCAATTTACTTTGCCAATTACGATTCCAATTTGAATTGTTCCGCACAATTTAAATTCGGTTATGTTCATTTCTTCTTTTTTTCAATGTTGTGTACATATGTTTATATACACAGTATCGATTAGATTAATTTATGTTTCGGTATTGATCAAATTCTGTGGACAATTAAGTGAAAGGAAATTTATTCATGCCGATATCCTGTGACTTTTGTTGTAAAAAAAGAAATTGCGGTTAATTAAAAAAAAAAAAATTTGCCAAATTTAATCTTATGAAAAAAATTTCTTTACATTTTTGATAAAAACAAAAGAAAAAATAATAGTTGAAAAAAAGGGAAAAAAAACCAGACTGAATTTATATTCTTGTTATTATTATCGAAATATTGAATTTTAATTCTGTAATTGTGTATAATTAATTCAATTAATTAAAATATAATTGTAAAATATTAATTAAACTCAATAAGAATAATAATTATAATTTAAATATCAAAAATAATTTATTTATTATACTGATTATTAATTTAATAAAAATATCATTGCATCCTTGCGGATAATGAGTTTATTTTAAAGAGGAAAAAAACAACACTTGGAGAAATAAAGTCATAAAGGGAAAAAAATAAAAATATTTTTCACTCGATCTCGCGCCGTCTTTCCATTAATACCGTAATCGTGCTGACAATTAATTATTCTGTCGAATCGAACGAGAACAGAGAGATAAGTTTGGGAAAGAAAACTTTTGCAAATATGATCGTATAATAACGAGTCTGTCAATTAATAATGTACAATCATCGTGTATACCAAGAAGTGTATTGCGCTATCAATTCCAGTCTGCTCTGAGAATTTTGTCAGTAATAATAAAGCATCGCTATTTTTTTTTTTTTATTTAAATGTAAAACGGGACAAAAAAATGAGATCAGATAATTGAAAAAAAGTTGCAAGAAAAAAATTTGCTTATATTTTATAAACGATGAGATAATTAATAATATAATTAATTAATACAATTAATTATTATAATTTATGACTATAATTTATTAATTATTATAATTTATGACTATAATTTATTAATTATTATAATTTATTACTATAATTTATGATTATAATTTATAAAAATAAATTTAAATATAAATTTAAAAATTCGATTATAATTTTTAATAATAATTTATAATTGCAATTTTTATTTTTGTAAATATAATTTAAAATTACAGTTGTATTTTTAATTATTATTTTTTAATTATTATTTTACTATAATCGTTTAATTATAATAATTAATAATTAATTAACTGACAACTTTATTAAAAATTACAATTTAAATTATTATTAACTATAATAATCGTCTTATTCATTCTTTCATTCTGTCCGCACCTGAAGTTAGTTTTTGTGTATTCTTTTGTTTTTTTTTTCTTTAAAAAAAATTTGTTTTGACAAATCGAAAATATGCAGGTATTCTTTTATGATTCATAATAAAATAATATTAGAAATTAGAAAATTTAAAAAACAAATGATGATTAACAAATGAAAAATTTACCCATTTTGTTTATTATATGCTTTTTTTATAACAAATTTCGTTTGACTGATCTAAATTATGCAAATTTTTCTCTTGTTTATTTATAAAAAAATAGAAAAGTTAAAAAATTATGATTAAGAAATAGTAAATAAATACCCATTTCATGCATAATTTTTATTTTTAATAACAATATTGTTCACAAACTCATTCTTTTATTTTGGGTGAAAAAAAACATTACTATTATTTTTCAATTATTATATTAAAATGTTAACAAAATTCGACTTTTTGGGAATTTTTTTTTAAATTAAATTATTTTTCAATTATTAAATTAAAATTCTTTGAAAAATAATTTTTTCAGAGAAATTTTTTTAAATATTTCAATTATTTATCAACTATTAAATTAAAATTCTTCAAAAAATCGATTTTTTAAGAAAATTATTCGTTAAATTTAATAATTTTTCAATTATGAAATTAAAATTCTTTAAAAACTCAATTTTTTGGAAAATCCTTAAAAAATTCAATTATTTTTCAATTTATTAAATTAAAATTCTTTAGAAACTCAATTTTTTAGAAAATCCTTTAAAAAATTCAATTATTCTTCAATTTATTAAATTAAAATTCTTTAAAAAATCGATTTTATGTAAAGTTGTTTGTAAAATTCAATTTTTTTCAATTATTAAATTAAATTGCTTTCAAAAGTCGATGTTATTGAAAATTTTGTACTGAAATTCAATTTTTCAATTATTAAATTAAAATTCATTGAAAAATCAATTTTTCAGAAAAAATTTTTGGAAAATTTTAATTTTTTCTTAACTATTCAATTAAAGTACTTTGAAAATTCAATTTTTTTGTTAAATTGGATGTAAAATTCAATTATTTTTCAATTATGAAATTAAAATTCTTTCAAAACTCAATTTTTTGTAAAATTCTTTAAAAAATTCAATTTCTTTTCAATTTATAAAAATAAAATTCTGTAAAAAATCGATTTCATTTAAATTTGTTTGTAAAATTCAATTTGTTTTCAAATATTAAATTAAAATTCTTTCAAATGTCGATTTTATTGAAAATGAAAATTTTTGAATTTTTAGAAAATAAAGGAAAAAATTTTACTCAAAAAAAAATGTTCCGTTACATTTTTACGAATTTCTTTAATTGTAAAATTATTTAAAAACATCAATAATTTCTTTTTTAAATAAATATTTAATTATTATTATTTTTCCACAGGAATTAAGACATTCAAAAATTTCAAATTCAAACCTTTTTGAAATTAAACAACTTATAAAAGTATTTTGCTATAAAACATGAAGATATTGATTGCTCCGAGTCGAAGACTCGGAGTGATCGATTTCTTCATGTTTTATAATAATTTATAATAATTAAAAATTTATCAAAAATAATTGAATTATTGCGAAGAAATTTATAAAAAAAAATTGTAAATAATTGAATTCCAGTGGAATTTTTATTATTTTTGAAAATAATTAAATGTTTCTGTACAATTTTATTAATTTTTTTTAAATAATTAAATTCGGAAAATTTTATTGAAATAGTAGATATTGAAAATAATTGAAATTAGGACAAAAATTTTATTGTCATTTTTGAAAATAATTGAACTTTGGGGAAAAATTTTGTTATTTACAAAGATAATTGGGAATTTTTACGAGTATTTTTTTTTTTAATTTTAAACATGATTGAATATTATGAGAAGAATTTTATTACTTTTGAAAATAATTGAATTTCTGCAATGAATTATTTGCAATTTCTCAAAAATTGAATTATTTTTGTGTTTTCAACAAAAATTTGAATTTAAAATTTTTAAATTCTATTATTTTTAAAATTGATAATTTTATTTTAAAAATGAAGTAAAAAGTTAGGCGCGCGCTTTAGCGCGCGAATTTTTGCTAGTTATATCGTAAAATAGAAAATCTCGACGAGACAGTCTAATTTTTTACCCCCTCCACTGGTCTTCTCGCCACCTATCGTCGACCGTTAGAAAAATTACGTTGGCGGGAAAATTCAAATTAAAATAAAGCAAACTCACGATTGGTCCAGTATTATTTTTTTCTTTTCGTTTCAAGTGCCTATAATTCCCACGGAAGTGACACTGAGAGAGAAATATTCGAAATGAAAGATTGAAACATGAAACAATTTGAAGTAACAATAGAGGAACAAACAATATGTTCGCTTCCAGGCTCGTGACTATGATGCAGTTACATGGCAAATAAAGGTTACTAGCCTCTCTCATCAATAACTCTCATACCCCTGTCTTCGTATATATATATATACAATCGTCTTACGTCATTCGGATCATGATTTGTTTTGTTTTTCTGTCACAGAGAGAAACTGTGTTCGCGCGGGGACCACCATGCTCGCATTCAATACGCCCTCGAGAGTTCATTTCAAAATTGTTGCATTACCTATTTCATAAATTTCATAATATTCCTCCATTTCCGGTATTCCTTATATTCTCTTTTTTATTTTCAAGTCAAGAAACTATCCCGTACCTTAGACTTGATGAAATCTGTCTTATAATTTATCAATAATAATAATAATAATAATAATAATTTTTATATTAATTTATAACTTGTATCTTTATTTATTTTTTTTTCTATATTTATTTATAATTTTTGAATGCGATAAAATTTCACTTTTGGGAAAATTGAGGGAGAAAAAAAAAACGTTTGAGTGGTGTCAATTAAAAAATAGGCGATATAATTTGACGAGCGTTTGACATTGTAATGGAACGTGATCTCTTTGCGGTTGAGTCGTTTTAGCTATTACCGCATGTTTTTGCACTTTATCGAGATCTATAATATATATATTTCACGAGTCTTTTACACACAAACATTCCTGGTGCAACCCTGTCGTTTCTAATTTAGGTCACTTTCACTGAAATTCTCTTCGACAAAACTAATTTTTTTTTCCTTTTTTTTAGTTCCAAGATGCTAACAACCTTGCTTCTACAAATTGCGCGAATTAAATTGGCGAAAGGATATATTATGTGGAAAAATGGGATCAAACCTACCATCATAAAAAGTTTCACCACCAAATTGCGATGAGGTGCTTCGATTTTTTTTTCTCTTTCTTTTTTTTCTTTAAGGAGCGTTGCGTCAGTTCCTTCTCCTTGAACTTGCAATTTAATATAGTAATAATGAAGAGAAAAAAAAAATGTTTTTCAAGAAGCAAAAAAGAAACGGAAACGAGTGGAACCTCCTTCCAACTTCCGGACTACTTGGAACTCGAATTTACTTTATCCAAACTGCATCGCTACTATAGCAGAGGATTATTGTTTCAAAATTTTTTTTCCTTTTTGCTTTATTTAGCGGGGAAAAAAATTTACTGCTTGGCTAAAGTTCACAGTTTTTGGATTTATTTCGGAAATTTAGTTATGGTAAAATTTACTACCATAATTCGGAGTAATTTAAATTATCATAACATTTTT